GCTTTCTGCTGGGAGATAGGGGTTACCCATGCCGACCAAATCGTATGACCCCTTACCCAGAACTTGAACCAGGCCCACAGCAGCGCTTCAATGTGGCACACTGCAGGACAAGAGCCCGGGTGGAGATGACCATAGGCCTGTTGAAAGCACGTTTCCAGTGCCTACGTCACCTCAGGGTAACCCCTGAAAGGGCCTGCGACATTATTGTGGCATGTGTTGTTCTCCATAATATTGCCATAATTAGAAGGGAGCAACACCCTGCCCTACAATTACAAGGAAGGGCAGGGTGTTACCCTGAGGAAGACCCCATCAACCCTGCAGATTTCCAGGATGGAAGGGTAGTCCGGGATATGATATGCCGCAATGTCTTCTCAGATTAATACACATGATATCCACCACCACCACCACCAAAAAAAAAAAAAAGAATAAAAACAAAATTTATGGTGTTCTTTATTTCATAGAAATGCAACCACAAAATAAAATAATTAATAAACAAAATCACAGCAATTTATATGGTGTTCTTCATTTGCTAAACAGAAAAAAGAAAAAAAAAAGATTTTAAAATAGTTACAATACTTCCTAGAATGCACCTGTGACCATACACTCACCTCTAGCTTTAGTTTCAGAATGTCGATTTCCAGATCTGCCTTTTGGATCTGGCGGTCCAAGTATACAAGTTCTTTGCTGTTTTAATATCTTATCTTCTTATCTTTTTAATAAGAAGAAGTCTATATAACTCCTTAACTGGCAACTGAAAATACATTAGATTAGAGTTACATCATGAATGTAGTCTAAAATTCAGAATTAAACTGTGGCATTTACTGTAAATCACTGAACTGTGTTCATCTGTGCACCAGAAGTTGATGGACCTTCCTCCTGCTGTTCTTCCACACTCTGGGGGTAGAGATAAGAATAACCATTTATTTAGAAACTTAGATTCTATAGGCTACTCCACATATACATGTGAATGTGTAGATTGTTTGATATGTAAACATATAATATTAAAATTACCTCTGTAGGCCTGTCTGTGGTAGCAGAAATGGTTTCTTCATCCCCATCATCCTGTGAAGATGAGCATTTAATAGAGTACACTTTATAATTCTATTTGTCATAATTGATGGTGTATGGAGTAGGCTACTGACAACTGTATGGGGTACTATTGGGACAGGAGGCTCCAAGAGTCAGATATTACCATCAGAATCTGTTGGGACCAACAAAAAACCCAACCCAAAGTAATATGTAAATATCACATTTAGTCTATATAAAAAATTACACATACTGTAGGTAGATCTCTTACATTTTATGAATGCACTTAAGTCTTCTGGAGTGACTGGCTCTGATGAAGTCCCTCCAGGAAATCCCTCAGCCATTGGCCTTCCAGCATTTAGGCTCAGGGCCATCTCTTCTGCATTTGACAGAGGTGGTGGTGCAGGTCCTCCCCCTGTTTTGCGAGCCTCTGCCTTCTTTTTGTTGGCTGAGTAGAAGTCAAATGAGAATGAATATTTAGACCTATGTCAAAAATGCTGCTGCACTGCTAGACACTGAATGCTATTTAGTCATTTAATATGTCAAATGTTTGTAAAGCGAGGTAGCTACTCTACTCCTATGATGGGAATGAAAATGAAATATGTTTTTATATTTCATTTTCAGCTGCTGTTATGTTCTTTTTATGCCTGCAGGATTGCACCTATCCATGAAAATTAAATTAGGTTTAATAAAATACTGTTCTTCCAGTTTTACCTCTGATATTATAGCAGTTGGGTAAGTTACTCTAAAATAGTTCTTAATTACTAACTATAAATTTTACCTTCAAAAAGTCTAATTAGATTAATGTAATAATTACTATCTCTAGAAAGTATGGTCTACTTCCTAATTTGTTTTACTTACTTATTAATTTCTTTCTAAATCCCAAATTAACCTAAACCACTTGAACAATACAAGGAGAGACAAGAAACTGCACTTCTAATGCTTTCAAATAAACAATATACAATTGCATAAATTATTCTTAAATTGATCAAACTGTGTAACTAGAGGGAAAAAGTTAAATTAAAAATATACCTTTTAAAATTTGATATTACATCCACTATTGTTTTATACACAATTGTTTTATAGTCTTTATATTAATTTAATTACAGCATTTAGATGACTTATTAACTTCATTCATTACACCCAACAGCAGTGGTGGAATGTAACGAAGTACAAATACTTTGTTACTTTACTTAAGTACATTTTTCACGTATCTTTACTTTACTTTAGTAGAATAAATAGCGCATACTTTTTACTTTTACTTTGTTACATTTTGCAGCAAATATTATACTTTCTACTCCACTACATTTCTACAACTTCGGTTACATTTTCATTACATTTTCTGATCAGTTTTTCCCCTGCCAAAACGTAATCTGACCGTCCGTCCGTTGCACGTTTGTCTCACCAGTGACGTTTGGTCGCCATAGAGCCTCCATTTTTGCACTCAGGTCTAAGTCCCATGCCCCTCTATTAGAATCCAGAGTTTCAAGAAGATTGGAGAAACTCAAAATTTCGACCCCCCAAAAAAAAAAAAAACGACAGTGTCGTTTTTTTTTGTGCGAAAAAATAAGTTTCTCCAATCTTCTTGAAACTCTGGATTCTGATAGAGGGGCATGGGACTTAGACCTGAGTGCAAAAATGGAGGCTCTAGACCCTTCCAGAGCTGAGATATTGAGATACCACGTAGCATTTATGCCATTATAAATATCTCAATATCTCAGCTCTGGAAGGGTCTAGAGCCTCCATTTTTGCACTCAGGTTTAAGTCTCATGCCCCTCTATCAGAATCCAGAGTTTCAAGAAGAACACAACAAAAAAAAATTTTCGTACAAAAAAAAAAAAACGACACTGTCGTTTTTTTGGGGGGGGGTCGAAATTTTGAGTTTCTCCAATCTTCTTGAAACTCTGGATTCTGATAGAGGGCCATGGGACTTAGACCTGTGTGCAAAAATGGAGGCTCTAGATATATCAACCCGGTCACACTAAATGCGTCTCGCACGCAGTGCGTTTATAGTGCAATTTATACACGAAATTAGTTTTTACATGCATAGGAAACGCACCGTGTGTAATATACGTTTGGTTAGGATTATGGCAAGCCAAGAGGTTCAGAATTACAGGTAACACTTTATAATAACAGTACATGAATAATCATGTACTAATACCTGAATTAATAATTACTTTACTATGAACTAATGATGAGTTAAGACATGTAATAATGAACAATTAACCTTAACTACGACATGAGTCATATGAATTCCTGCATGAATATACCATCTTAACTACACGTTAGTACATGCTTGTTAATTAATGTATTAATTAACACTATGGAGTAAACTAAATCAAACATGCTCTAGATTAGAAGATAAGATGTATTAAAAGGGCACACAATGTAAAATTGTTCATAAATTTGCCACCAGCAACTGTCACAAGCATCAGTGAATGTCTTGCAATGTTTACATTTAACCTTACTCATTGAACACACAAAAATGCATCAATAAAAAATTGAGTAATCTCATTCCATTTAAGTGATGCCACTTCTGCCATCAAGAGTGAAAAACCTACACTAATATATCCATTAAACAGATGCAATTTTCAAAATTAAAATCAGTGTTCCCAGGTGAAAAGGAAATATATTTAAATTGTACTTATTTTGATATACTTAATGTATTTTAAATGTACCGTATTAAATATGTATTAAATGTGCTAAATTGAAACAACTTCAAGTATATTAAGTGTATTTTAATATGTATTTAAGTTCAATTTTAAGGTAATAGTAATATATTTTATTATACTAAATTGTGCTAAAATGGAACCATTTTAAGTACATTTAATGTAATATAATAGCACTTATTTAAAGTGTATTTTAATACACTTTAAATCGACTTTAGAAATACAGCATTAGTATATTTTTAGCTTCACATTAATGTGTTCTGAGTATATTTTAAATATAATTTCAGCTTATTAATAATGTATTAGTAGAACACTATTGGACCCACTATTAACATATTAAAAATATATTTTTCCAAAAACCATTTAATATAAAAATAATATATTTTAATGTATTAAAAATACATTTAAACATTTGAATTCAACAAAACCCAATAAAAAAAATATTTCTACAAAACACACAAACACTCTTTGAAAGATAAACTTTAATGCACTACATCAGTAAAGCATTATGAAAACTAAACAAAATACATTAACATAAAATGCATTGATTTGCAGAGGTATTAAACAGAACAAAAATAAATAAATAAATAAACTAACTGAAAGGAGTAGTTCACTTTTGAAAAAACTTTTGGTGATAATTTACTCACCCCCACGTCTTCCAAGATGTCCATGTCTGTCTTTCTTCAGTCGAAAAGAAATTAAGGTTTTTGATGAAAACATTCCAGGATTTTCTCCATATAATGGACTTCACTGAGAACCAAACAGTTCAGGGTCCAATGGCTAACAGTCAATTTGTCGTGAAAGCATGAGAATTGGCTCAATTGCGAGAGTCTTGTGCTGAATGCTTGAGAGTTGGCAGCCCTGACAAATCTTTTTTCGAGTCAATTCATTCATTTCGTTCATTGAATGAACCTAATGACTCGGAAAAATATTTGTTAATTTTGATGAACGAGTTCAAATAGGAAAATCATGAACATGCATAACAGAACAGAGCAAGGCGACCATTTGAGCTTATAAAACTTAAACTTGTGGGGTTTTTTTTTTTAAATGACCGATCGTTTCGCTTGATAAGACCCTTATTCATCGTCTGGAATCGTTTAAAGCCCTTTGAACAGTTTGCACAGAAACTGTCTTTTGGACCTTGAACCGTTTGGTCCCCAATGAAGTCCATTATATGGAGAAAATCCTGAAATGTTTTCATCAAAAACCTTAATTTCTTTTCAACTGAAGAAAGAATGACATGGATATCTTGGCATGGGGGTGAGTAAGCTATCAGCTAAAGGTTTTTTTTTGTTTTTTTTTAAAGTGAACTAATCCTTTAAGTCAAACAAAGTGAAATACAATAGCAAAAAGTAAAGTGGCCAAATCTTGAGTAAAAAGAGAAGTTCATGACTTGTTCAGTCTGCCATAGACTCTTTTGGGGACATCAGAAACACCGAGGGAAATCTGGCAAGAATAAAAAAAAACAAGCATTAGTATAAACTTGTTCATTTATAATTCTAATAAAAAGCTGTCACTTTGTTACTTAATTCAGAACACTTAATGCACAAAAAGTCAGATATAATTATTATAACAAATAGGATTTTTCTTTATCATAAAGAATTTTCTAACCATTTCTGAGGTTTCAGGAAGACACAGCTCAGATGATCTTGGGCTTGAGCTGAATGAACCTCGTTTCATGGACTCGAGGGCCTCTTTGAGAGATGCTAATATCCCTGGAAGCTCTATAAGAAAAAATAAAGTCGCATGTTATACAAAGTTAGGGCAGAAAAAACACTAGTTTGTGTTCTTCATATATAATTTGTATTTTGTTTAAATGGTGAAACATATTTAATGAACCATTACTGTAACTTCCACCCTATTATTAAAGTAATTATTCATTATTAATAAAGACAGAACTTTCTATTGAAAGTTACAAGTTGGTGACAGCTGATAACGCCTTGATTAAATGTAAAAAAGCTGAATACCACACATAAAATCATATAAATCAGTCCCTCGAGAAAAACACGATTATGTGATTGCATAATTCAATGCATAATCAGGCAAAATACATATTCATTTTTCAAATACGTGATAATATATATAGGTCACTTAGTTACTTAGCTGCTACATGACACACTATTGCCTTTTTTTGTTGTTTTTCACCAACAAAAAGTTACAAATCAAGAGGATCAACTACTACTTACTCGACTTGACCTCATCTACTCACGGTTGGGTTTAATAAAAAAAATGTCTTTGCAATGTGCAAATTCCTTGGCTAGGCTAAATATTAAATATAAAATCTCTCATTTCATTATTTAACATCATTTTAATTTCTCAGTGCAAGATATTTAATAATTGGTTTTGTGAAAGCTTATAGTTGGTGATTACAACTTAATTTATTTATCGAATTGACATGAAAACTGACAGCCTACTAATAATTAATTAGATTTTACTATGAATTAAATATCACAGATGTGAAAGTTTTATTAGAGCTTAAAATATATTATAATATTTTAAACACAAGAAGTTACTTAGGGACAATCAAGCCTGTCGTGTAATCACCATTAATAACCTTTTTTTCTGCAAACACAGTGTGCAATGTTTTTATAGTTGTATTATGTCACTGTCTAGATCTATAACATTAAGTTGATAGACGTCAATGAATAGACGTTAACTCGCTTTAGTGTCAAATCAACAGAAACGCCAGTAATCCACAGAACATCGACATCAACTTCTGAAAATATTTTCTAAACCCAAAGTGAGAATAAAGCCAATTATACTAACGTTAATCACTTAAACTAATAAACTTACCACCAAGAAGTAAGATCTTTTCTGGCAGTATCTTGCTCTGTCCATGTCGTGGCGGCGCACCTCTGCGTTGTCCTCTTCACTGCTAAATTGTTCGCGGGAGCTGACGACCTGGTAATCTGCTCGTGTGTTCTCTCAATATTAGATCGGTGCTATCCACATTCACTAGGTCCGAGTCAGTGAAATAACAAAGCAAAATTTGGAAAATACATGATTTCTGTTGAAATATCCGAAGCTATAATGGGATACCACAGACAGTCAGTATCCGCTGTCTGCGCCCCGCCCAACATGTAAGTTCAAATGGCAGTGTGTGATTGGACAATTGCCGGCAAGCTTGTTTTGAAAAGATTGGCTCTGATTGGTCCAAATGAATGCAACTGGAAATATTAACTAACATCCACAAAAAAAGAAACAACTCTGTTAATATAAACCTAACATGCTTATTAACAAGTTTTTTTTAATTAATTTTGGCTAAACAAATGTAAGAGTCAAGCTTTAAGAAATTTATTTTGTTTTTCTAGTATGTACACCTGATCTTTTATGTTGATGTGTGCAAGTACTGGTATTCACTTGTTTTGTGGAAAAGACTATTTGATTAATTAATGCAGAAGTATAGAAGTGCATTACTTGTTAGTCAAATTTTAGTGCTTTTCATAATTATAACAAATTAATTTAAAAAAGTTAAACCTAAAACACATAAAGTGTGAAATACATATGCATTGAGTTAAGTGTTGGTAGTATTACAAAAAGTGTGTTAGTTTTTGGTATATTTCTTAAAAGCTTAACTGAGCACATATTTATAATTAAAGTGCTACTTCTAGTCTTTGTAGAAATATACAATTAATTTCGATACATGTTTAATTGCCTTCATGTTAGGAAGGGAATTAAAGGGACTTGAATTTTTAAACTTGAAGTGAACACAAAAAATACTTTAATTTAGCAACAAGTATGCTTTCTGTAAATACACTAAAACTTCACTAAAACTATGTTTGTTTTTAGCATATTTCTAAAAGTGTAATTAAGTGTATATTTATTAGCATTGCGTTTCTAGTAAAACATTTTTAAATATAATTAAAATATGTTTTTTTATTTAGCATATTTCTTAAAAATGTAATTAAATACCAATGTACTTCTAGTACACTTTTTAGAAACATATTTAAAGCATGATTGTCATTAGCATATTTATTAAAAATATAATTAAGCACACATTTATTACCAATGTACTAATAATATACTTTTTTAGAAATACATTAAAAGTATGCTTTTCTATAGTGTATTTCTTAAAAGTGTATTTAAACATATATTTATTACCAATGTACTTCTAATATACTTTTTAGAAATACATTTAAAGTATAATTATCATTAGCATATTTATTAAAAATATAATAAAGCATACATTTATTACCAATATATTACTAATATACTTTTTATAAATACATTAAAAGTATGCTTTTCTATAGTATATTTCTTAAAAGTGTATTTAAACATATATTTATTACCAATGTACTTCTAATATACTTTTTAGAAATACATTTAAAATATAATTATCATTAACATATTTATTAAAAATATAATAAAGCATACATTTATTACCAATATATTACTAATATACTTTTTATAAATACATTAAAAGTATGCTTTTCTATAGTATATTTCTTAAAAGTGTAATTAAATATATATTTATTACCAATGTACTTCTAGTATACTTTTTAGAAATATACTAAAATGCAATAAAATACATTTTTAGTACACTTTAAATAAGCATGTTGTAAATACAAATGTATTATAAACACACTATTTGTATTTCAAATATATTTTTAATACATTTAATACAACGTCTTTTTCACCTGGGTTAGCACAAATGATGGTTATTTCTGTGGTTATTTTGTGGATTTGTTTAATGCCTTTATATCATATTACAGTCGGATGTTAGTCTTCTTTACCCCTCAAAATGTGTCCACTTTCCTCCAACTGTAAAGTTCCTTATCCATCCAAATTCGGGCACAGCACCTCTGCTCTTCCACTTCTTTACAATCCACCGAAAAAGACCAAATTATATCTGATTTAGAAGAGCTGAATATGTATTGCACGTGTAATTGATAATTTTTTAAATATGTACTCTTGAAGGGCCAAGACAAGAAATGATATTGATACATTAACAAGTCATGAATTCATGTTACTTTAGAAGTAATTAATGATGAGTTACTAATGATGTGCCCCCTCAAGTAAAGTCATGACATAATGATGCATTAACAAGCCATTAGTTGATGTTAGTGTATGGTTAGTTAATAATGAATATATGATGATGTGCCTCCTCAAGTAAAGTCATGACATAAAGATGCATTAACAAGCCATTAGTTGATGTTAGTGTATGGTTAGTTAATAATGAATTAATGATGATGTGCCTCCTCAGGTAAAGTCATGACACAATGATGTACTTACAAATCATGAACTAATATATGAATAAACATATACGATAAGAGTGCCATTCTTATTCCTTTACACCCATGGTAAAAAATAAATAAAAATAACAATTATGTATTGTTCTTTTAATTTTATTTATACAATTAAACATAAATTGACTTAATAAAAAGTCCAAACATACCTGTAAAGACACACATAAGACACGATTACATGTAAAATAGGGAATAAGCTATAAGCTAATGCTAATTGAAGCATATTTAAACAAAAAATACAGTTAATTAACCATAACCTCCTGAAACCTCTTAAATACAACATACATGCAAACATGTGTTTAATTATTAATTCTGTTTACGAAAGAAGTCATCATTTATGAGATTAAAATGCCAGCATTACCATTAGAACACAACCAGTACACGACCAACGTGCCGAACGAGCACCGAGTGTGCCACTAATGAGTGTCCCACCAGAAACAAAGCCTACATACTGTAGTTCCAGGAAGTAAAGAGACAGATCTGTTTAATAAATGGCTAAAAAAATCATGTGCCATTCCAATTATTTGTTACAATGCTTGCTGTAGATTATGATATTACAGTTTAAATTATGGCAGCATGAAATATGTTTAATTCAAATTTAGATGACTTCTTATTTATTCATACAGATAGAGACTGATTTAGTTTACCCCTAAATGTTAATTAATGCATTAACTATCAAACATGTACTAACATGTTTAAGGCTGCTGTTATTCATGCATGAATCAGTCTGACTCTTGTAGTAATTAAGGGTTGCTCTTCATTTGTTTGTTATTAGTTCATATATTCACTAATCATGAGTTAATGTTGAAGTAACTATTAATTCAGGTATTAGTACATGATTATTCATGTACTATTATTGTAAAGTGTTACCGAATTACACCATAAATTAATCGCGTTTACTGCCATAGTTATTAACATATAGTAAGGATAAGCATAATGTGTATTGCCTAATTGCAAGCTTGTTTCAGAAATGGTGACAACATTTTTTTTTCCATCATTATTGAACATCATTATAGGAGTATTAGGTTGAATGAGTTAGAATTAAATGTTTTATTAATCATTAGAAATTAGACATTAAGAAAATAAATTATTCAAGTACTTTTACTTTTAATACTTAAAGTACATTTAAAATCAGGTACTTTTTACTTTTTACTTAAAGGGTTAGTTCACTCAAAAATGAAAATTAAGTCATTAATTACTCACCCCCATGCTGTACCAACCCCGTAAGACCTTCGTTCGTCTTCGGAACACAAATGAAGATATTTTTGATTAAATTTGAGAGCTGTATAACTACCACATTGGCTCCTAAGGGACTGCCTCTTGACGGCCCAGAAAGTCGATGAAGAAAATATTTAAATATCCCAAGTGACTACCGTGGCTCAACTATATGTTTATCAAGCGACGAGAATACTTTTTGTGCGAAAAAACAAACAAAAATAACGAGTTTATTCGACTATTCCTTTTCTTCCTTGTAGGCCAGAAACGAGACTTCCTTAGATTTCCACGACGCATGCGCGAGAATTGCTATCTTTTTCAACTACTTCAGTTCTGTTCTCGCGCATGCGTCGTGGAAATCTAAGGAAGTCTCGTTTTTTCAAAAATAATTTAATCAAAAATATCTTCATTTGTGTTCCGAAGATGAACGAAGGTCTTACGGGGTTGGTACAGCATGGGGGTGAGTAATTAATGACTAAATTTTCATTTTTGGGTGAACTAACCCTTTAAGTATGGTTGTCATTGTGTTACTTCTACTTTTACTAAAGTAAATATTTATCTGGTTATTTGTATTTTTACTTAAGTACTGAGATTTAGTACTTCCTCCACCACTGCCCAACAGTGTATAAAAGTAATTAAAATGTAAACTTACGCATTGACTCGAGCAGCTATTTTCTCCCAAGCTAACTCTCTCTCCTTCGCCGCAGCAGCCGTGTTGCTTTTTTTTTTAAATACATGTTCAAATTCTGCATATGCTTGCATTAGCACATCCAGTTCCGCTGGTGAGAAATATGCACACCTTTTTTTGTCTGACGCTGTTGCCATGGTGACTCCTAATATCTGAGCTCCATTGATAATGGCTTTTTATAGTTGTGGTGCACGCGCTTAACTCAGAGTCAATCAACTCAGAGTTGATTGAACTAACTAATTTCAGCTGTTCTGTAACCAAAAAAAAACTCAGAGTTCAAGCTTTAACTCAGAGTTGGTTGAACCTCCTTACTGAAACGGGCCCCAGATATGTGGATGTCAGTGATTGTGTACTGTTTGAGTGTTGTTCCTGTCCGCACCATGCGTTTTTTTTTTTTTTAGTTAAATAATTTGAGTCGTTCATTTTGTTAGGTTGATTTTGTTAGTAGTGAATCAAGAGTTCAGACAAGACTGGTTGCCGGGTTAAACATTTATTGTGTTCAAACATTCACTTACATCAAATAAATTGTCATCCTTATGTTCTGGATCATTTTCACGTCAAATAGAAGAAACCCGGTCACAGTATCTGCCACCATTTTAAAATAACTATTTCCCGCCAAAAGAAGGCATAGTTAATTGGTCTCATGGCTGAGGGGGAGATTTGGGGTTTGTTGGATTCTT